TGCTAGATAAGATTTTTAAGACTAAAAAATATTTATATCTGTCATTCTCTTGCTTTAGTCTAATGTATTATGATTACTTTAATTATTATAGCAAGTATTTTCAATAAAGAAATAACTTAGTAAATATTTGAGATTAATATTTAACTATTCTCAAAAAAGAAAAAGCTTAGCTATGAACAAGCTTTTAAAATCTCTTTTCACAAAGAAATATCAATAAAAATAACTAAAATAGATAAAAAAATATAGAAACTTTAACTGAAACAAAATGATTTTTTTGGATGAAAGTATCTTTTATTTAAATCAAGATATAAAATAAACTTGATAATTTTCTGAAAGAAAAAAGATAAGCTATTTTGTGAAGTATTCTCTGAAAATTTATATATAAGAATATTTTTTATTTGTAAACTTTGGCAAGCTGATTTGCTTTGTAAGAAATCTCAATATTAGTTTTCTATTAAATATATATAAAATAGATCTTTTATTATCTGCTAATAAACTTTTTGATTAGAAAAATAATTAGTAAATTCTTTAAGATAATGATTCTAAGTATTATTTAAAAATTATAAAAATATGAAAGAAAAAAATGAATATAAAGATTCTTTCATGACCATTAATATTTTCTGATTAAAATCTGATTAAAAATATCTAAGAGCTTATGAAAAATAATTTGACAAAAAAAATTAGAACTATTAAGAATTTAAAAAGAAAATTATAAAAAAAATAATATCATTTACCTAAAAAATATATAATCTAATTAGTCTCAAGTATAAAAAAGTATGTAGAAGCTTTAATTAAAATCAAGAATAATTATATCATATACTAATCTTATTATATAAAATCAGAACTTTTAAATAAAAAAAAAGATTTTTTATTTATCTTATCTTTTTATTAATTTAGAATAAGAAAAAAATACTTTTGATAAATATTATATATAAATAATTAATAATATAATAAATAATAATATAAAGAAGAATAAATAAAATTATAATAAAAAAAATAATTAAAAATAAAAATAATCTAAATTAATAATTAGAAAATATATAATAATTATCTGTATATTAATATATATAAAATAAATATATAATAATTATTTATATTTAGAGTGAAATTGATTTTTAAAAAAAATAAAATATAATATAAAAATATAAAATAAAAATTTAAGCTAAAAGAAATATAATTATTCAAAAATTATTATATATATATTATATTATTTTTAATTATTTTTTATATTATTAATATATATAAATAAAACTTATATAAATATTAATTTTTAGAATAATTTTTATTAATTAGTTTATTTTTTATAATAAAATAGCTTCTTAAAATAAGCAAAAAATATTTAAATATTATATTACTTCAGAATAAAGATAAAAAATTCTTGAAAAAGATTATAATACTAGAAAAATAGTATAAAAATAAAATATAAATATATCTATTATTATTTATATTAAGTAAAAATGATAGAAAAAATATATATTTATAAATATTAATAGATCTAAATATTTATATATAATTAATAAAAAGCTAAAAGAAAAAATTATTAATATTATTCTTATAACTACTTAATTATAGTTAAAATTTAAAATTACTTTCATAAACTGAAAATATAAATGTTTTTATATTAATTATTTATTATATACTTAGTAATTATGAAATAATATCTAAATAAAATATAAAAATTCATATTTAAAAAAAGAATATCAATAAAAAGTAATATAATTTTGAAGAAAAATATAAAAATTAAACTGAAAAAATGAAATAAGAGAAATCTGATCAGATAAAGTTTAATATTTTTAGATTAGATAATGTAAATATTATTGAAAAATAAAGAAAAAACTATTAAAAAGCTTATACATTAACTTATTATTAAATTTGATAATGAAAAAATAATGATATAAGATTACTTCTCTACTTATAATATTATAATTTTTGAAAAATTAATAATAGAATAAATATAAAGAAATTTTTTTAGAGAATCTTTTAAAAATTATTAATTATTTTAATTATATACTAAATAATATTATTTTTTAATAGGATAATATCTCAAGTATATTACTATTTAAACTTATTAATAGTTTATTGATAATAAAATTAATATTCTTAATTGGCCATTTCAATTATCAGATATCAATCTGATGGATATCTATGATTATTATCTTCTAGAATTGATTTTGAAGAGGAATAATATATAAAATAATATCAATATTAAAATATATATGTGTTTTATTAAATCTATGCTAAAGATTTATAATACCTATACAAGATGATAATTTAAATCAAATATAGTTGGTTTTTAAAAATAATCAAAATTTATTAAGTTATTTACTAATTTTTTTATTTATTCAAAAAGAACAAATATAATGCAAACCAAAAATTGAATGTATACAAAAAATTAATAGAAAATTCTAAAACAGACGAAGAAATTAAAGAGTGTGCTAAATTAAAGAGGCTGAAATTAGAACAACTTGATAAGAAAATAAAATTGTAAACTAAAATTTCTTCGAATATAAACAATAGACAACAAATTCGTTCAAATGCTATTTATACCAGTAGAATATTTACTTCAAAATTAATATCATTAATCAAATAAAATTTAATGAATTTAGAATACATTAAACTATGGAATTGTATTATTTAATCATATTAATAATAAATTTGATGTTTTTAAGTTTAATATGGAGATATCTTCATTTAAAAATTTTTATTTTTATTTTTGATCACCACTGTATTTTCTTAATTAATTTTTCTTTGTATAAAATAAACAATAGTATATTTATTTTCTATAGTTTTATAATTTATAAAAGATAATTATCATGTTAAAATAAATTTTACAGTCAATATAACAATAACAAATGAATTTTTCAAAATATAAAAAAATATATAAATACAAAAAAATTCATTTTCTAAATGTTGTTTAATAGCATAATATATTTATATAAAATATTGACATTGAGAATAATGAATATATTCGAGTGACTTGCAAGAAAAATACAATCAAAAGTAATTGAAATTTCTTTTTGCACATACAGTATATTTCCATTTTATCTTTACTTATGAACGAAATAAATGAATCATGTTATTATGAATTTATTGATTATCAAATTTTCAAAATGCCATCAAATACGTAATGATAAAACCTTTATATGTAATATCACTTAAAACAAAATACATTATAGATTTAATAAGATAAACTTAAGAATTCATAATATTAAGTATATTTTAAAAATTTGAAAAGTAATTAAGGAAATTTTGTTAAAATAAACTAAATTATTTTCGCAAAAAAAGTTTGAAATACTTCATCATCAACCTCAAAAGCAAATTTTTGTACTATCGGAGCTCAACAAAGCATGTTTATATGGAGCTTTTTACAAAGATTACCACCATTTGATGTTGGATTGAATAACATTAAATCATTTTCACTTGCATCTCCAAATACTGGTCCATATGTCCTATTGCAACAAAACTTACTAGATTTTACTTATAAATTCATCGGATTCATTCAATTCAAATTGAAATAGTAAGTTATTTTTGTGTCGCATATTACTGATATGTAGTTGAGTACATTCCAATTGCTTATATCCACCAATTATTTTCATGAATCTTTAACCTTAATCGCGATTAATGTTGGATTACGTCATCACAAAGTCGATGAAATCAGCAGCAATTAGACTGCCTCGTAAAACAATAGCATTAAATCAAATGATTGAGTTAATTTGTATCTTGCGACTTTATCCATTCACTTGTGTTATTGATTTGGTTTGGGTAAGTATTATTATTTGAATTTCGAATATTGATGTTCGTTAGATTGGAGATCTTCGTTTTCTGGAACCAAATACATGTAATGATGCAATAAAGATTTGTTGATAAGAGTTCCGAATATGGCATTGTTTTATTATAAAAGTCGAAAGAATTCATGTGGAAGAAACAGATCAATGGTAACATCGTTTAAACGCAAATTTCAATTGTTTAAATTCGTTTTGTGTCCATTTATCCACAGGACTTGTAAAATCAACATCCTCAGAATTGAAAGGTTGAGCAGTTACCAATTTCTTGAAGTTTCAATCATCCCGTTTGAGCAAAGAAACTAATGCGTTTTCTTGAAGTTTAGCAAAATCATACGATTAAAAAACGGCGGCAGTATTTTGACTTGAAATATTCTTGAAGAAGTCGTGTTACCGGCACAAGCATTAGTCATAGCGCGCGCTACATTAATCTATAATCACTCCCAAAATTACCTATTTTAGAAATCCCATTTAAACATTAGTAGCAATAAATAATTCTCCGTGACTTTAAACCGCATCTTAAAATCTTATATGGTGCAGAAAGTCACAAGACATCCGATGGTGCGCCCATGCTGCGTCACGGAAGGGAATATCATTTCTAATTTTGCATAAACGATAATCATGCAATTTTGAATGATGAAAATTCAGCCAATCAAAAATAATATACGTGATATTTCAGGTATTTAAAAAAATCCAATTACAAATTATTTTTATAATATAACGAACAAAAAGAATACATATATAATGTATTTATTTTAATGCTCATACATATAAAATAAATTTATCTATGCTTCAAAGTACATGTATTGATGTCTTATGACTTTCTGCACCATAAGTGCAATTACATCAGTTCTACAGTACATGTATTTACATGTGTATTCTTATTTAATTCGGGCTGTGCTTTCCCAATACGAGGATCGCTTCCACGAATACTAATGCTATCGTTCCCACAACTGCCATTGTGAATGTTCCCAAGGTGAGGGGTTAACTAAAATCTGGTGGGCATGGGATACAATAAAGTAAAAGTATAGTACGTATGCATATATTATAGAACGCAAGAATCGAAAAACAGAAAAAAACATCGTGTTTTTTAATAAATACTGAAATAGTTCTCAAGCGTAAAATCAAACAAATAATAACATTAACAAACAAAGCAAACACCTAAAAAAACAACAATACAATAATCTATTGCAGTTCTCCGTCATAAATTCTTTAACAATGAATTCCAAACAACAAAAATTCTTCACTTTACTCGTGCTTCTCTGTGCCATTCATAGTACTTATGCTGGGCCTTTGACGTATGCAGCTTGCCAAACTGCTTGTAATCTCGGACGGGACTCGTGCTACGCTTTAGCTGGTTTCGTTTCTGGTATGAGCGAAATACCAATTTTGTGAACACATATATTGTTGATTTTCATACAATGAGTAAAAAATATTCGTTTTTGTTAAATCATTGATTCTTTTTAAATAGGCACCGTTTTCGTAGGTTTGGCACCACCCGCAATTTTAGCTTGCAATGCTGTTCAAGGTTTCTGTATTGCAAGTTGCGCCGGTTTATTATCTGCACCAATTCCTTAAGTTCATTACAGTACGAAGCGGAATTAAAATTGGTGTGAACCGATTTTGCTTTATAAAAGTTTATAAAAAGAAAAGTTTATCTCCTTAATTTTTTAAAAAATTCTATTTTAATAGTTATTAGAAATTTATATTTTAAATTATTATTTTTTGATTTAATTTTACACTGTTTAAATAAAAAATTATTCTAAGGATTTACATGTATTTAACTATGAAAAAATATTGCATTCCGTAATACATGTAGTGATTTTATTAAATTGAATCATATTTTTTTAAAAAAAACTAAAAATCCTGTAACTTGGGACGCGATATCTTGATGCCCAACTGTACAGTTTGGACATTTAATTCAACTAATCTAGTCAAATGGTATGGACCTATTTTTGTCCAAATTGGACAGTTGACGACTGGATTTATAATTATCATGTTTTTAGTTGCAGAAATGCAGTAATACATTTTCTCTAATATTTTTTTTGTATGTGATTACAAATTTTCTCTTTTAACTTATTATCTGACACAGCATTTTCTTTAATAACTATAAGAATTGTTGATAATTAAATCGGGACGAGAAAAATGTATAAAAAGAGAATTTTCTTAATGAAGAGGAATATACTTATTCAAACTAAATAAAAACAACTTACCTTTACTTATTATTTATTTTCTTTGATTAACTTCAAAACTGGTCTTCTGTATAAGTAATGGCGAAACTCCATTATAAATAATCCATACGTTGAATTTACTATTCAGAAACTAAGTCCAACCTTTTGTTTTTAACTCGTTAGTTTTGGTTAGCTGAAACCATATTCGAATTGTTATTACCAGACCACAATAATAAGTCCTGTCGTTTGTCTTTTGTTGGTCATCAGAAATCTTCGCGGGGTCTATTTTATTAATTTCATTTTCATTGTTAAATGTCGATTTGCGTGCAAGTAGCAAAAGGAAACCCTTAAAACATTTAAAGAGCTTCTTTTATTCAGTCTAATTCCCTAATTATAGTTACGCCATTTTAAAGTAAAGTATCTTTAAACTACAAAGTTATTTTTTAGTTTATGGATTTGATATATTGAACTTCAGCTTTGAATTATCTTTTATTATATGAAGATATTTGTGAAAACGATTGTTCTTTTCTTGTATTTTGTAAACCTACATACAATATCGGCACAGATTTTAGAACCATATTAAGCTTAAAATACATTTAGTATGTATAAAGCTATAAATTTA